ATTGACCAAAAAAAAAAAAAAATGATGGCACACGTGGAGTCCATTGGAACCTCCTTCCAAGGAAAGAGCAAAATCTAGTGTTGCTCGAAATAGGTTCTTATTACATTATTGATTAGAACATGCGGTCCTGTGACTTATAATAGTAGGTAAAGTATATTGCATCTATACTTTAAATTAAAATAGTTACTTGTGATATAATACTCTGATGGTCATTTGGTACTCGAGATAAGGTGTAGTATTAAATTTATATCATGTTTGGCTGACAGTATAAATTTATCTCCATCAATCAAATATGATATAAGTTTAATCTCATTCTTAATACAGGATATCTCACCTTATCCCATCTTATCTCATCAAACTTGAAATTATATTATCCCACCTTCCAAGTAGGATAAATTAGTCCAAGAATTATAATCTCGGGATAATTTATTCTGCGTACCAAACAACCCCATAATCTCTTACATTAGCATAGATCAAATTATAAGTGGACCTTAACCAATGACCTCTTTTAATTGTTAAAATAGCACGGTCTAGCTAGTTTTTGGATTGGTCATTCAAAAATAGCCAGTGTTTGCTAAGACAATAAAAAATAGCCATTATTTTGCTGTAACAGAGACCGGTCCAGCATAATATACTGGGGTTCGATGCACCTGTGTATGAACTTCCAGTATATTATGTTAGACCGGTATACTTTGCTGACTCCAGTATAATATACTGGAGACTGGAGCACCGGTGCTCCAAACTCCGTATATTATACTGGACCGGTATATTATACTGGAACTCCAGTATATTATGCTGGAGTATTTTTCGGATTTTGAACAGTGATTTCGCTCAGATTTATCTTTACCTAAAAAGTGGCTAAATTTTGATTACTTTTGAAACTATGACTATTTTTGAATAAACACTTGTAAATCTAGCTATTTTTGAATTTCTTCCCTTTTAGTTGTGTCATTACTTATTGTCCAACTAGATTAGTAATGGAGAGGGCGGCTAAAATGGATAGTTTTTTGTTATCGAGGTTGTCTAATTGGATTATTTAACAAAAAAATCGTCTTTTTAGTTAGAACAACAGAATCAAATTAAAAGGAGCATAGCAAATAACATCCACTTTAGGGTGAATTCGCTCGCCCAAAGCGATGGTTTTTTTTTAATTACTTTCCGCNATATATATATATATTTTCGACTATTATTTTGAGAGCGGCTATATAGTAACATTTTCCCAAAGTTAACCACTAATTGGTGTCAAGATTATGAGCTTTACTTATTCAAAGGTTTTACTTACGCTAAAAAATCGAACTTTTTCTCTATCCAAAGCTAGCTTTCTTCTCAATCAGGGAATTACTTAGTATCTTTGGAACATAGTAGTCTAGACTATAACTTTCACAACGTCTGATACTATATTTTGGACCATCTTAACTTTATTTTGCTTTTAAATGTTAAGATTTTACTGATCAACATCAAAAAGTAAAAGTGTAAAATCAGTAGTGTTGGAGTAAGTACTTTATGTACATACAACTACAACTTATACACATATATAAGTTGGACGAGGTTTTGATGTTTTTGCGACAAGTGGGATCAGCTTATGCCAACTTAAATATATCGTTGTCCACTATATGATAGTGGGATATATAATTTAATTTCCATATTTAATCTCATAGAGACGTGTTCTTGCTTTCATGTAACTAAAGGGTTACATAATTAGGGACTAAAATAACAGTTGAAAGGAGCCACGACGTAACAATAAGAGTTTTCACCATATAATTAGGGACTAAAATTCAAATTATAAAATCAATCCAATGAAAGCAGGGACGGAGCTAGTAGCCCAGTTACGGTTCGGGCGAACCCGATAGTTTTTACTAACATAATGTATTTGTGTTAAGAAATGATTAATATATGTACAAATATTAAATTTAGAATCCAGTTAATAATACTTGAAGTCGTCGTTTTCGGTGGTAAACTTAGGATATTCATAAGCGGTATCACAATTTAAAAAATGGACTAATGAATGTCGCACTATAATGATAAGCGATGTCATTTTTATATTTATCCCCAATATTTTCATTTTTCTTATACATACCTTGTAAAAATTTTCGACGAAGTGGTGTCCCGTGACACCGCATGTAACTAGGTGTATATGCCCCTGGTCGTTTAAAATCTAGAACCCATAAGGTTAAAATTCTAGCTCCACCTTTGAATGTAAGTAAAGTTGTGTATAATAAACCCAATATGACCTGATAGTCTCCTGATCCCATGCTTAACGGAAGCTTTGTGCACCAGATTGTTTTTTTTAATCTATTAATAGTGCACCAGCCTCTTGCAGAAATATAATGTAAGACGGCATACGATAGACCCTTGTGATCCGGCCTTTCCTCAGACCTCGCGCATAGTGGGAGCTTAGTGCAGCTGCCCTTTTAATAGTTGTTGTCATGTCATTTCTCCATGTCTCCACGACACCTTGAATATTTCCCGTCCTTTAACTCCTAATCATTCAAAAAGATTGTTCAGTAATGGAAGTCACTTTTGATCCTGAGTATTGATGGTGGAAACACATGCATAATGCACAAGATCATTGAAAACCAGTATAATTATTTCCTCCTATGAGCACATATCAGTATAAACTATTTAACCCTTACTCTAGAGTAGCACTGAATACCAGACCTGATTCTGAAATTTAAAAAAAAAAAATAAAATCCATGGGTACATTTCTTGGACATCTAGTACCTGGTTTGGCCTTAGCTCTCCTTGGTTTTTGGCATGCTATTAACACAATTAAAGCCAACTATCAAAATGGAACTACAAAATTCAGATCCAAGTTTTGGTACCCTTTCAACAGTCCTCTTCCTACACTACAACACCTTGATCTCATTCTTGTTTTGTCTTTCTCTATCTTTTGCATAGTCATCCAATTCTTGGATTTTCCTTCTCTGCACTTTTCATTCAAGCTTCATAACATTGAACATGCAACCATGTTCCTAAACTTGACCGTTTTCGCAGGTTTTACTCTTCTTGCTGAGTTAAGTAGCTTGCCTGAGATCCTACATGGGATTTTAGGTATACTTGCTACATCTATTTTCGGTCAGGAACTTTTCTTACTTCATTATCATTCAACTGATCATGTAGGACTAGAAGGTCATTACCACTGGCTTTTGCAAATTGTCGTGTTTATTTCCCTTATGTCAGCCCTTGTTGTTACTTGTTTTCCTTCTTGTTTTCCTGCAGCACTTGTTCTTTCAATTTCGGTTATTTTCCAAGGTTGTTGGTTCATGAATATGGGATTTAACCTGTGGTTTCCACACTTTGTTCCAAACGGTTGCGTTATGCAATCAAGTGAAGGTCATGAAAACTTAGTGCATGGCGCGGTCCTGTGTCATACGAATGAAGCTGATTTACGGGCTAGAGCTATGGCGAACTTGCAGTTTAGTTGGGTACTTGTAGCTATCTTGACCTTTGTGGCTGGTATTTCTCTTGTTTTCGCGAGAAATCGAGCAGATAGGACTCTGTTGTCTAAGTATGAGCAGCTTCAGAGTAGAGGCAGAGACATCCCTGTAACAATTAATTGCTTGAAGTAAACTACTCAATAAATAAGAAATGTACATAGGCATCCAATATCCTAAGTTAAATAAGCTTCAATGGATGTGTCTAGGGACATCCCCATTGCTTGTGGTGCTACTAGTTCAGTGTATCGCAGTGCCTAACCATAGTTATGAATTGAACTAATGTTTACTTAGTTTGATGTTTTCTTCCCCTCCCCTAAATTGTATTACTCTTTTCTATTAGGTGTGCATCTTCTTTTGTGAGATTTTATTTTTGGTATAGCTCATCTTAGCACTGGCAGAAGAACAAAAGAAAGTTCAATAGCCAATTATTAGGAATAAATTAGTAGTTATATACAATAAGTTTCTGGCCATGGTAGCGAGGCTCCATGAGTGTATAACGGGGCAAGTGCACAAATAGTCATTCTTAGTGATGCTATTTAGAAATTAACCAGTATTTATTTTCTCATGAAATTTCAAACTAAAAATCTTAACTTCAGGATAATTCAGGACAAGGTGAGTTTTGGATAGACTACGAACCATTTCAAACTTAAGAGATTGCTGGTTTTCAGTGATTTCTGGTGTCTGGTGCGATGTACTTCGCGATCGCGAAGAAGCTCTCATGATCCTGAACGGGAAGTTGGGTTGGTTCTTCTACGCGAACGTGAGGATGAGGTCGCGAACGCGAAGCAGTGGTTGGATTACCCTTGGCGAACGTGACCCAAACCACGCGAATGCGATGGGTTAATGGGTGTGGGAGGGGGTCTGTTGGTTTTTCTACGTGAACGGGTGCCTTGGCTCGCGAACGCAAAGGCCAGGGGGGACAGGCCATCGCGGACGCGTACAACACACTGACTAATTCCTAAATAGTAACCCTGTAAAATAGCTTGTATACGGGTAAAATTGGAGAACCAGATTTTACGATCATTATATCTTTCCGTAGCTTCACCTCGAAGGCCCAAGGGCACAGTTCGAGGTTTCGACCTCGAGGGTTCTTTATGTCCGACCTTGGGGCAGCACAAATCGATGGTTATCACGGATAAACGGAAAGTTCCCTAGGCACGTGGTCAAAGCTGACAATACCTACAAGAATAGTACCAGTCTGTACCAGGCTGCTAAGTAGCCGTAACAACTACATTTCTTTGTAATAAATGCATATGTGCTATGTTGAGATTCTCCCCCCTCCTATATAAAGGGGACCTTTGCTATTTTTTGCACACATGATATTCAACATACAACACTCAATACAAGAACATTCTCTGCTCTCTAACTTATATACATTCTCCTTTGATTCTATTATTTACATTTGTTGTGTTCCATTAATTGTTCTTCATTTATTGTTCATTATTGATCATAGAGAGCTCAGATCCAATCTCTTAGAATTGTTAGACCTTCATCGGCCGGTCATAGCCTAACACTTAGCTCAACTTCGAGGCCCCGAATAGGCCAGCTCAAGGCCCCGACTCTCAACCTCTCGGTTTGCTTAACATACTGATTTCAAGCTTTTATCTTATTTTCTAGCCTCACACTTAGCATCTACTGCCTAACAATGCGTAAGAGCCACTGTCGCCAGCCTATATTAAAAGGTTGTACCGACGCTATGCGTAAGAACCACTGTCGCCAACCTATATTAAGAGGTCGTACCGACCCAATGCGTAAGAGCCACTGTCGCCAGCCTATATTAAGAGGTCGTACCGACCCAATGCATAAGAGCCACTGTTACCAGCCTATATTAAGAGGTCGTACCGACCCAATGCGTAAGAGAAACTGTTGCCAGCCTATATTAAGAGGTCATACCGATCCGATGCATAAGATCCAGCTTAAATTTTGAAAACTTAAGGGTCGATGAGCTTGAGTCAAAGTCCGACTAGAAGACTGAGCCCGAAACAGTTAATTGAAAAATGCCTAAGGGCCAATGCGTAAGAGCCACTGTCGCCAGCTTAAAACTAAAGGTCGTACCAACTCAATGCGTAAGAGCCTAAGATCCAACTTGAAATTCAAAAACCCAAGGGTCAATAAACTCTAGTCGAAATGTGACTCGGAGACTATGCCCCAAAACGATCAACTTTCGGCCATTACAAACCGCTCAACGGTAGTATGAACCTACGGGTTTAAATTTGAGGTCCAAAATTTCGGATCAATTGTCAAACAAGCATCACAGTTTATTCCTAAAAAGGAAAGGAAAAACGAAAAATGATGAAAAACGAAGAGTCTTTACATATATGTTGAAAGGTTCATAAATGTACATTTATAAGGCCTACGCCTGAATCCCTTTACAAGGGCAAACAAGCAAATGAAACCTTAACCTACCGCCGGGGCTATGCCTTCGACGGATCCCTTAGAAATTATGCTTTCAACAACATCGTCCATAACCCCCGGGTTTTCAACGGCCTCTCCCCCTTCGGGGATCTCGCCTCTATTTTCACCATCTTCCGAGCCACTACTCGGCTTGCCTTCAGAAGAAAGCAGGGCCGAGGCCTCCTCTTCTAGGGTCTTCACCCTCCCGTTCTCAGCGGATAAATCGATGCCCCGCCCACAAATATCCTCGAGAGCCTATCTTCGAGATTCTAAATGGGCATGCTCCACAGCTCGGGTCAATCACAGCTCGGCATCCTCGGACACTTTCTTGGCTTGAGCATTTGCAGTAGCAACATCATCTTTGTACGAGGATACGAACTCCTCGGTTTCAGCCCTAACCTTGGATAACGTAACAACCAACTCAGTATTAAGATCCCTGTACTTTTTACTCTCCGCCTTTGCATCATCAAGTTGACGCCCGACTGAGGCCACCTCCCTCTGGAGGGTATCTCTCTTAGAGACTATCTCACTCACGTTCCGTTTGAGTTTGAGAATTTCAGAGTCCCTGGCTCATAGTTCCTCCTTCTTTAGGATATCTTTCTTCTCAAGCTGCAAAGATCGACCTGAAGGTGTTAAAACACTGGAGTCGGATAAACATGTAGACAAAAAACAAGTAAGAACTATATAGCCTGCTCAGTGAGATGAGTCCTGTCTCGGGACGCTACCTCCAAGCAATCACGAAGGCCACGGAGTTCCTCCTCCCTCTTAGTAGAAAGAGCTCTGAGCACATCAACTTCCAAGGTAAGCTTCTTGTGCTCACCCACGTAACGAGTCAGCTCAGTGTGAAACTTGGAGAAAGTCTAATTATAAAGAACCTTGGCCTGAATCCATAAAGGAAATGAGGTTAGCAAGACAAGAATCAAGGCACCAAGCAGAATTTTACGAAAAGGTTACCTGTTCACAGAGCCTGTCGATCTCATTGAAAATAAGTGAGACGTCAAGCTCAGGCTTTTCCTCGGGCGCAACAAAAAGCCTTTCAAACACATTTTTATCTCCGACGGCCGCCCCCGCATCAGAAGACTCCTTATTTTGGGCGTCATGCGTCTCTCTCGGAGGAAAAGCCGATCCCGAAGGGGAATCGCTCACTTCAATGATCACGACTGAATCAATTGGGCCCGTCTCTTATTTCAGGAGAGTTTCAGAACCAAGCTCTCCCGGAATGCCTAACGAATGCACCTCGGCTCGATGAGAGTTTTTGCCAACAAATAACAAGAGGATATCACCCGACGCACCCTCAAAGGCCTCTTCAATCCGAGGTAGGACAACAACGAAATCAAATTCCGATTTAGAAGCCATCGACTCTATAGTATGTGGGGAGGTCAGGCTTTCTTCCCCAGTGGGTGCTTCCAAGGAATCATCTTTATTCTCACCTTCAGCTCGGGGACTCCCCGGAACTTCTGGAATTAAGTTTGCTGAGTCAGCCTTAGGCTCTTCCACTTTGGCTTTCTTGGGTTTTGGAGAATGAGTCGGCGAACTCCTTCACCTTTTCCTCTCTTCGTCGGGTTTCCGGGTATCCGCTTCACCAAGCAGTGCTTCCCTTACCAAGGGGACCTCCCCTAAACCTGCACAAATGCAAAATATAAGCGCAGGGAATAAGGACGCTATCAGTAATAGTTCTTTTGTGAGATGCAATTACATCAGAAGTGGAGGCTCACCATGGTCCTTGGCTTCCCATCGAGCCTGGGATAGATCGCGCCATGCGCACTCGGCGTATGGACAAATTGAATCCAGCTGGTTGACCCATCCCGAGAGGTCCTTAATCGCATTAGGGTACACTGCGACGCCTGCATCAGCTGAGGAAGTCAGTTCGTAAGGAGATGTATCCAAAAAGAAATAAAGGAACATCTCATTAACATTTCTGTTTACGTTTCATGTTCCACCGGGAACATCATCCTCTCCACTAGAATCATGTCTGAAGTCCTAACTTGGACAAAATGACTCATCTACCCTCCGTTCCTAACCTTATCGGTGCAAGCAAAAAGGGCTTTCGAGGCCCGACAGTGGAGCTTAATCAGGCCCCCACGGAAGAGTCGGGGACTACACATTTTGACCAGGTGATCGAGGGTGAAGGGCATCCCCTTAATCATGTTCGCATAATATCTGGTCATGTAAACAATGCGCTAGAACGAAGGATGAATTTGGCTGAGGGTTATTCGATATCGTGTGCAGAAGTCGAAGATCACTGGGTCTATTGGAGGCGAGGATGGCTCCACCGGGCCAAGGGTAAATGGATAAGTATACACGCTGAGAAAATCGGCCTTGAATATCGTTATATCCTCCCCCCGAGAAGGAATCTCCACAAGAACCGCATTTCCCCAGCGGCATTCGGCTTCACCATTTCGACGTCTGTTATTGAGCGAATATATTAGGACGTAGGTTCGCATCGTCCCAGCTTGGAAGAAGGTTTTTCTCTTGAAATCGGAGATCGTTTCAAAGGCCCCTGGAATGCATTCCCCAACGCGATGGGGCATTATTGCTTTGCCTTTAGATGAGCGCGAGGAAGAGGAGGGCACGTCTTCTTGAGGACAGAGGTGGAAGTTTTCGCCATTCTTAAAAGATTTCAGAGGAGAAATGAAAATTGCGTTTCAGAAAAGAGCACAAGAGAGAAGTGAGAAGAATTCTTTTGAGGGATTGGTGGTGCAGTGGAAAATAAGGAGCGAAAGAAGAAGTATTTATAGAGGTCTAACGTGCACGTTGGAGTGGACCAAAGGACAACCAACCGCTGTAATTAATTCAAAGGCTTTTAAGGGCTGTGTGGACGCGACCTTTAGGCACCTCATTTTGTCATGTCAATCGCTTGGTAGGGCGTGACTACCGTGGTGATGGAAGTATCAGAGAGGCAGGAATTCGAGATCGTTTCTTATCATTTTATTCTAAGAAACGTGGGACTACCTGTATACGGATAAAATCGGAGAGCCCGATTTTACGATCATTATTTCTTTCCGTAGATTCACCTCGAAGGCCCGGAGGCAGAGTTCGATGTTTCAACCTCGAGGGTTCTTTATGTCCGACCTCAGGGCAGCACAAATCGATGGTTATCACGGATAAACGGGAAGTTCCCTAGGCACGTGGTCAAAGCTGGCAACACCTACAAGAATAGTACCAGTCTGTACCAGGCTGCTAAGTAGTTGCACCAGCTACATTTCTTTATAATAAATGCATATGTACTATGTTGAGATTATCCCCCTCCTATATAAAGGGGACCTTTTCTATTTTTTGTACACATGATATTCAACACACAACATTCAATACAAGAACATTCTCTGCTCTCTAACTTATATACATTCTCCTTTGATTCTATTATTTACATTTATTGTGTTCCATTAATTGTTCTTCATTTATTGTCTATTATTGATCATAGAGAGCTCAGATCCAAGCTCTTAGAATGGTTAGACCTTCATTGGCTGGTCATAGCCTAACACTTAGCTCGACCTCGAGGCCCCGAATAGGCCACCTCAAGGCCCCGACTCTCAGCCTCCCGGTTTGCTTAACATTCTGCTTTCAAGATCTTATCTTATTTTCTAGCCTCACATTTAGCATTTACTGTCTAACAACTAGCATAAAAACAAATCACTTATTTTTAGAACCATAAAATCAAATCTAATTGTAATAACTATTTTTAAGGTAAACATAGCTACCTGGTGTCATTTCTACGTGCATAACGTCGTCAAGACAGGAGACAGAATGCTAATTTTAACTTGTGAAAACTCAAAATTTCTTGAGGAAACCAAAGTTTATTAGTTTAATATACATAATCCAAACAAATCAACTCTACATTAGTGCAGAGAGACTAAATATTGGTGGAAAGAAACAAAAACATAAGCAGACCAATGTTTCAATTAATCAGCTTCCTCAACAGAAGTTTCAATTCGAAGGAGGACAAAACCAACAACAACTCCAACTAAAACCAGGGCAGGAATAATGGAAGCAATCCTAAAAATCTCAACAGCAGCATTACAGGTAGAAGACAAAGCTCCACCTTTGCCTTGTGATGTTGTTTTCAAGGAACTAATAATCTTGGCAAAAGACTGTTGAGTGCAAACAGGAAAGCCTAATGAGATTACACTGTTATTTGCCTTTAGCCCTCTAAATGAATTCAAACCACTAATGTAGTTCAGTTAGTTCTTTTATGGGAAGAGTACTTGTTTGTGCCAACGTTGGTTGTCGGAGTAACTGTTGCTGGAGAAAGTGTTGCTGAAGCTGTGGTCATTGCTTTTTGACCACCAACCTATATAACAAGAGAGATTTAAGTTATATGCACTGACGGTGATTATAATTTATTTGTTATAACAGGTTACTTAATTAAGATTTTCTCTAGGTTACCAATCAATACTCCTATTAAATAGAGTTACGTGCAATTATCTTTTAAGTGCATGATTATGTAATATCAATGTATAGTACAATCAAATCTCTTATAACAGCTTCATTTGTTCCAATATTTTTTGGCTATTAAAGAGAAATGCTATTATAGAGGATATATATTATAACATAACATAAAAGTCATTTCGGTGAAAAACTTGGATTTTATAGGGAACAATTGTTATATAGGAATGTTATAAAGAAGTCTAACTGTACTTAAACTCTTAACAAGAAGAAGATTCAAGGCAAATTTCAGAACATGCACCTCTATTTCTTCTTCTTCTTCTTAGTTATTTTATGCTAAAGTTTAGCCAAATTTTGTCTGAATCCTAGCTTGAGAGTTTCAATTTCAATCTCTGCAGTAAAATTTTTAGACTCGTGAGTCTGAAGTTTGATTTTAAAGTGATTAAATTTACAAAATTTATTTTGATTATTCTTTAAATAGGAATCCTCAGAAGTGGCAATTTGTGAACTTCGCCCAATGACCTTTAAAATGGATGATCTTGATTTTTGACCCTCACTTGTCCTATGGGAAGACTTTTAAGGTCAAAAGTCAAACGGGTTACACATGCGACACGCAATAGGCAACACTTGTTAAACTTGAAGTTCAGCCTATGAGGCAAGTGAGATCAAAATATTAAGAGTGACACCAAATGTCCTATTTGTGAAAATTACGGGCGCCCCTTTTTAACCTGTAGCCGGTTTGTTTTTCTGTTTGTACCCGTACCCATTTTTTTGTTAAAAGTCATTTAAAAAGACTATTTTGCCCTTCTTTATTAAAAGACTACTTTCTCTCCAAGTATACGCTAGTCCTCTACTATCTCTGTCTCTCTCTCCCGCTATTCGCGTTTTCTTGATTTGCTCTTCTCTGAAATCAAAGGGTTTTCGTTGTTGTTTCGAATTTTCAACTGCTAGTCGTCGTTGTTCCCACATTACGATTTAATCACAGGTACATTGCATTAACTTTCTGGGTTTTATTTTACGATTTAATTTCTGGTTTTGGGTTTGATAGTCATATATTTATGATAGGGTTTAGTTTGATAAGTTCATTAGTTTTACTTTTACGTTTGTATTTTTAGGTTTTTTGAACGAGTGTTTATGTTGTTAATGAAAATTCTATAAATTCTTCTGTGATTAGACGTTCAAATTTTTAAAAATTTTCAGAGTTAAATAGATGATAATGATACCTTAGATAGGAGCTGAAGTTTTTTTTCATGTTTTGGCATTATTTTTGATTTTGAATTTGTGTTTTGTTTTTTTGCTGAATGTTTTGTGCTTGTATGGAGAACTAGAATTAAGTTTTTGTGTTTATAACTGGTGAATTCCATCTTTAGGAACTGAAGTTTTTTGTGTTTGTAACGGGTGAAGTCCAGCTTTAGGAGATGAAATTTTTGTGTTTGTTGCTGGTGAACTTCAGCTCTAGAGCTGAAGTTTTTTTTTGTAATTGTCGAACTTCAGCTCTAAAGCTGAAGTTTTTGTTTTATACCTGTCGAACTTCAGCTCTAGAGCTGAAGTTTTTGTTTTATACTTGTCGAACTTAAGCCTTCTTAGGTGTTGAAGTTTTAAATGATCTTTTTGATAATGTCCTGATGTTATTATTTGTATCTTTTACTTTTTTGGGCAGATGGCTCCTAAAGCACCTAAAGATCCTAAAGCACCTAAAGATCCTAAAGTAGCTAAAGAAGGCAAAGCACCTAAAAAACCTAGACTACCTGTAGTAGCACCAGGTCCTTATGTCCCTAAGCCTCCACCTACAGTACCAGGACAAAAATATTTTGAGTTTACAAAATGGTTTAACTCTATGGGTTACTGGAAGGGGAACCATGATTTGAAGAGTTTAATTGCAAATTTCTTGACTCCTGCACAAAGGGATAAGCTTAATAATGGTGCATTTAGATACATTATTGCTATGGAGAATTTCAAATGCAGCATGAAGTTGGTTCATTGTCTGTGTCTTTCTCGAATATTCACGAATGATCGAGACTCCATTAGTTTCAAGATTTTTGGGCATGATGTTTCCTTCACCCTTGAAGACTTTCACATTATGTGTTGTTTGCGGATCACAACACATAATATTGAAAAATCATTTAATCGAGAGAGCACTATTCTGAAGCGCTATTTTGGTAAGTCCAAGGGTGTGAATTTGAAGGATATTCGAAGTTTTATGACTCGCAATGTAATTCCAAAGAATGTTGTGAATCATGCACACGTATACGAGAGTGATGATGATGCAATTAAGCTTATGAAAATTCTTATTGTAGAGTCTATTCTGTTTGGGAAAAATACCGAGTCATGTGTGATTGAGGAGTATGCATCTATCGTTGAAGACGAGAAGCTTTGTGCTAAATATCCTTGGGGTAATGTGGCTTATGAGAAGCTCATTTATTCACTGAAACATGCATTGGACAAGCAGAACAAACATCATGCAATTGAGTATAAACTTACTGGATTTCCATATCCGTTATGTGTTTGGTTCTATGGGCACTTCCTAGATATTCGTAAGAAGTATGTAGCAGAGGATGAGTACATTGATATGCCTCAGGTCCCCAGGATGTTACGTTATGTATGCGTGGGAGAGCCTAAATATCCCGAACTTTATTATATGTTCAGAACTCATGAAGTAAGTTACTTTTTTTTTATTTTGTATTTGTGTTAATATGCTGATGTATTAGTTTTTTTCTCCTCATAATATACTTTTTTGTATTAAACAGAGATATCGCGACTTTATGGTATTGGATATAATTCCTATAGAAGAGGAATTGAATTCAATGCCTTTAATTGGGAAATTACCGTGCAACCAGATTCGTTCAAATGTAGTTAATGCAGTTCCTTCAACTGGTAAATCACCACGTACTTTGAGTCGATCAAAAGAATTGAATCGAACTCCTGTCATTGGTAAATCACCACCTACAAAGAGTCGATCAAAAAAAGCGAATCAACTCATGACATTGGTGAATTACCACGTAGTCGGAATCAACCAAAAGAACCGAATCGAACTCCTTTTATTGGCGAAACATCTCGTACCAAGAGTCGTTCTACCTCGTCTACATCTGACTTTGATGACGATGAATTACTTGATACAATATGCTCTGTAAGTTTTGATCTGAAGTTTTTTGGGTTTGTTTTTGTAAAAGTACAACATGTTTTTTGAGCTGAAGTTTTCTTCTATATCTGAATTTTTGTTGTGTATTTATCGTAGAGGTTAATGACGGAGGTTCAGAGGCATGCAGAAAAAGAAAGAAGCACGATCGTGAATGAAGTTTTTGATAAGTTTAAAAAGGAGGAGTGAACTGCTATTATGGATGCGGTTTTTGTAAAAGTGAAGGTAAGCTAATTTATAGAGAAGTCTTTTTATTTGTGCTGATTTTATTTCAGATTAATCATTGTTAGTAATTTTTTTTCTAGGAATATTTCGATGAGAAGTTTGAACAGTTGTTTATGATTGTCAACAAATAAAATGGAATGGACGATGGGAATTTTGATTTGAGTAAGCATCAAGAATATGACAGGAGGAACGACTGTTACAAAGATCCATCGGCTTTTAAAGGCGATCAACATGTTCAAGAACAAGTTGAAGAGCACAGTTCCAGTGCAGATAGATTGAGCAGAGATGTAAATGATGAAGCACATTTATCAACTGAGAATATTGGAAGCAAGCAAGTGCACATAATCAAGTTGTTGAGACTGAAGAACATACTGCTCATGATGCATTGCGTAAAGTCGCAGATGATAATGCTACACATAATGAAGCGGCTGTTGAAGGCGTTGAACATGTTCAACAACAAGGTGGAGAGGAACAATCCAATGTCTGTAGACAGAGTAAAGGTGGAGAGAAAGGTGCAGATGATCAAGTTGTTGGCACTGAAAAACATGCACCGAGTTGTGCTTTGGAAAGTGATATTGGAAATCAAGCACCTGTTGGTACTTTAAATCTGAAAGACAATCGTTATGCAGGAGTAATAGCGATTTGCAATGAACTTCTAAGTGGTGATACATAGGAAGTTGTTACTACAAGTACAAAGTGTAAGTTTATAATATTTCAATTATACCTTAGATAGGAGTTGAAGTTTTGTTTTCATGTGTTTGTGTTTTTTTGTAAAAACTACAACATGTTTTTTGGTGAATGTTTTGATTTGTAACTGGTGAACTTTCAGCTATAGAGCTGAAGTTCTTTTTTTTATAACTGTCGAACTTCAGATCTAGAGATGAAGTTTTTTTTTGTAACAACTGTCGAAGTTTTTGTTTGTGACTGACTAACTTCAGTCTTCTTAGAGTTGAAGTTTTAACTATTTTTTTTATAATATCATGTAGTGAAATTTTCACTACAGGTATAATTTTTTTCTATGTTTTATATATAGAAAAACTAGTTGATCTATTCCCCCTCTTTTATGAATATGCAGTGGAAGTTGAAACTAGTCGTGGTTCAATTGCCACAACTCAAAAACTCTCTGATGATGCTCAATTGAATGAAGGTAGAGTTGAGAAAAACCTTCCAGAGAATACTGCAATGGCCGTCGATGTTGGTTCACAATTGAATGATGCTGGAAATGCTGATATTGAGAAAGGCATGCAGCCTGGGGAAACCACATCGGAAGACAAACGTAAAGGTATTCTATAGATCATGAATTTATTATATTTGATCGAAGTATATTTTTTACATTTTGAAATTTTACATATTTTATTTTCTTTTTTTATGTTTTTGAATGATTTTTCAAAAAGACTGGAGGCAGCTCGAAAAGAATTGGGTGAGATTCTGCACCAATATGAAAAAGGAGAAATACATATATTCACACCTGTTGACTCACAAACAGGTGTGAAGTGTGTTGGTATTATTTTATAAAATTTAGCCAGTATTTTTTTTGTTGCATGAAGATACAAGATCTGTTGGAATGCAAACACCATCTGTGTCGCAACACTTAGACCAGATAATTATTTTTTTCAATTCGATTACTGGCTGTTTTATTGCCTAATGTGTGTTCTCTATCAGTTTTATTTATGTTTATATTTTCCTTGCTTTTGCAGATCTCATCTGATGCATTGGAACTGCTTCCAAAACCTAAAAGAAGGAAGATTTCTAGTTCTCCTATGTGTGACACCAGTGATATCCTCAACTTCAATTTATGTTCATTTTCACTTGGTAGTACACAAGGGGCTGATTCAGAAGGTAATTCTGCTGTTGTTGTTGTTGTTCGTGAAAAGATAAAAGAACGTCGTGAACAGCAGGGAATTGGTCAAGCATCTCCCACGATAGCTGTAGTTTCCCCCATGCTGCTGAACAACATCATTTAATTGTGACGGAACAGCAGGAAGAGCAAGCAAAAGGAAAACAATATAAAAAAGGGAAAAGGATGCGTATGGAGAGTATTTGGTTGAGATCTCCTTATGTAGTTTATAAGAAAAAGCAAAGGGGGCAAGATTGGATAGTAGGAAAGAATAGAAGAAGGTGTCCCTTCCATTATGTTAATCAAGACAGTGGATTGATGCAAAGATTTAAAGAGTGGTTGGAGATGGATGTCAGTGAATATGATTCCAATCCATTCAGATTAGCTGGACTTGATATTCAAAAATCATTCTTTACCGAGCTTATGGATCCTGACTCTGATCTTGCAGATGAAGTAAGTTATTAAGTTTGTTTTTTGAATTGGTTTTCAACTGTATTTCCCAAAAGTTCAGCTTATTTTTTATAGTATAACTTTATTCATAGTAAACTGCTGAAGTGTTTTAGCTTATTTGCTAAAACTAAATATGCTTAAGTTTTTGTCATGCTGTTTGTAGTTGTGTAATGTATTTTTTCTAAACTTCATAGTGGTAATTTCACATGTTATCATTTGTCGTTGTCCATTTGCAGCATATTGATGTGGGCGTATATTACTTGCGCAAAAAATATTGCTATCACCTTCCACGTTATACAAAATCAAGATGTGCAGTAGCAGATTTACTTTTCGATCAGTATATGACTATCCTGGATAGTATTCATCCTTTAGAAGAAAAGTTGAAGATAATTGAGAAAAGTAAGCAAAAGAGAATGGCGGTTCTTAAGAGCAAATCAAAGAGAAAGAAGATATCCGAAGAACAGATTGAAAAAGAAGAAGAAGCGGTTATTAAGCCACTTACGGACTTTTATTGGTATGAGGAAGAATCAACGAATGAAAAGGTGGACAACTACGTAAAAGGCCTCGACCTTTCCTGTGGTATCTCATGGGCATCTGCCAAAAAAGTATTCTTTCCATTTCGACTTAAGCCAAGGGAGGGCCAGATATCTACGCACTACATTTTTGGAATTCTGGATTTTGAAGACAAATTTATATATGTGTATAATTCCATGGGCGATGCAACATACGAGCGTGCACTTGAACATGTCAAAATTTATGCCCGGTTGATTCCATACTGTCTCAAATGCTTGAATTTTGGGGAACATAATAAATTTTATGGGGACAGTCCTGTGGAAAAATTTCAAATTAAGTGGATGAACACACCAAAACAGACTACCAAGTACGTGTTTCACATATGTTTTACCATGCATCTTTTGTTTATTATTTTTTGCCCTTGTGTTAACTATTCTTTAATTTCTTTTTCATGAGTTTTTTGTAGTATTGATTGTGGTATATTTGCTCTTAAGTTTATTGATATCCGGTTGAAGAGAGAAGATGTCTTCAATTTCGATCAAAGTCAAACATTGGCATTCAGGAGAGAATTGGCTGCCAATCTTTGGGCTTATGGAAAGTGGAAAAAAGATAGCGGCTATGAAACTCCAGCAGAATGAGAAGGACATGATTATGGAGATTTTGAAGAGACTCTGTGTGAATTTTTTTATTAGAGGATTGGTTGTACATAATTTGGATTTTGTGAATATACATTAATTATTTTTTTAGTTCACTTTTTTGTCATACAAATATGTTTGTGTCTTTTATCATGAATTTTAAGTACATTTTTTGTTTGAAAAAACTTAAGCACGACTTCTGCTTTTTGAGCTGAAATTTTGTTTAAAAGTCATAAAAACTATTGAATCTGACACAAAAAACTTCTGCTTATCAGGTGATGAAGTTTTTGGAAATATACTAAAAAACTTCAGCACATTGGGCCGAAGTTTTTTGAAAAAGCTTTAGGACAAAAACTATTGAATCCAACAGAAAACTTAGGCTGATCAAGTACTGAAGTTTTTGGAAATATACTAAACAAATTCAACACAATGGGCCGAAGTTTTTCGAAAAAGTTTTAGGACTAAAACTAATGAATCCAACAAAAAACTTAGGCTGATCAAGTGCTGAAGTTTTTGGAAATATACTAACAAACTTCAGCACATTGGGCCGAAGTTCTTCAAAAAAAGCTTTAGGAGAAAAACTATTGAATCCAACAAAAAACTTCAGCTGACCAAGTGCCGAAGTTTTTGGAAATATACTAACAAACTTCAGCACATTGGGCCGAAGTTCTTCAAAAAAAGCTTTAGGAGAAAAACTATTGAATCCAACAAAAAACTTCAGCTGACCAAGTGCCGAAGTTTTTGAAAATATACTAAAAAACTTTAGCTTATAGGGCTGAAGTTTCTTGTAAAAGCTTAAGACAAAAACAATTGAATCCAATAGAAAGATGTCAGCTTATCAGGTGCCGAAGTTTTTGGAAATATACTAATAAACTTCAGCCCATAGGGCCGAAGTTTCTTGAAAATCTTTAGGACAAAAACTAATGAATCCAACAAAAAACTTAGGTTGATTAAGTGCTGAAGTTTTTGAAAATATACTAAAAAACTTCAGCACATTGGGCTGAAGTTTTTCGAAATAGCTTTAGGACAAAAACTTTAACATGTTTTGGTATTTTTTTTAAGTTGATACTTATCTTTTTTGCATTTACTATCTACTTTTTGTCTTTTGTCAACTACTTCATCTTTCATTTAAATTTGTTTGACCATATAGTAAATGATCCGAAAAGTTATTTTTCAGGCTGAAGTTATTTTTTTACTATAGGAAAACTGTGGGTTTTACTAGGGCTGAAGTTACATTTCTTTTTGGATTTACAACATACTTGTTTTTACCACCTACTTATCTTGTTTCATTCAATTTCTCTGAACGTAAAACAGTAAAAACAGCTGAAAAGTTACTTTTACATTTATAGATATTAAATTGATTAATTGAACTCTTTGTCTATATTAACAATATCTTCACTTGAAAATTTCATAGTCATTCATAGAGTTCTATCATATTTCTTTAAATTTGTATTCATCCTTAGTCTTTCAGTTTTTGTTAAAGAAAAAATGTCTGGTGCAAGCGGAAGTGGGAAGCCTAATATGGATGA